CCGCCGTGCGCGCGGCTCCCTCTCCCCTTATCTTATGTTTGAAGGCCACAGGATAAACAACTTATGTTATTAGTTGCAGTGTGCACATGTGCTTGTTATGTAAACTTTACTGTTTTACACCATTGCACGTAATGCACATGTGCATGTGTGACAGTTTGCCTTTGGTAATGAGCTGCTATTATCGACATCACCTTTAAGAGAAAGGGAGCACCTAGCTAGCTAGCCCTGCTAGTTCAGCTCTGGTGGCCTTGGTGTGGCTTAGCCTTGGCTCAGCTCAGCTCAGCTCTGTGCACTATGAGCTCCAAGAGGGAGGAAGCACCTTGAGAGTGCTGCTACAAGCTCTGTGAGCTCCCCCTGAACTCAGCCAATAAACAACAATAGTGCCTCACATCTTTTTCCTGTGTCTCAGTTCAGTCCACCCTTTGGAGGAGGAAGAACCTCACAAAATAAGCAGTCACCTTCTTCTTCTTCTACTTTACTTATTTATTTATTTATTTTTTGGAGAGTTTTTTGCTATAGGACATATGCACTCACCAGAAAGACAGAGAGAGGCATAGAGAAAGAAAGTGAGAAATCACTCCCCTGGCGGGGAATGGCTACACTGCAATCCCTTCTCCTCCATTTTTCTCTCGGGATCGTGGGCATGCACGCACATATGCCTGGCATGGTTTAAGCTACTAGGATTGGAACTCAAACCAGGGTCAACTACATGGGGGTCCAGAGACATAGTCATTACTCCAACTGCTGGTCTCAAGCAGTCACCTTCTTTTAGTTCCTTTAATTTAACCTCAAGCAGTGAAGTTCACTATATTGATTACTTCTCTCCTGGGAGTTTTGAGATGAAAGTGTTTCTTCTCCTAGTTGTTCCTTTAAATGTTCTTTTAAGCTAGTAGAAGATATAGAATAACCAAGAGTAGGGACCAGCAGTTAGCATAATGGCTATGTCATTGGACTCCCATGTGGTCTACCACGATTCGAGTCCCAGATCCAGCAGCTTAAACTCTCGCGGGGCACGTGAGCGTGTGTGCCCAAGATCCCGAGAGGAGAATGGAGGACAAGGGACTGCACCAAGGCGGGGTGATTTCTCACTTTCTATCTCTCTGTCTCTCTTTGTCTTTCTGGTGAGCGCACAAGCCCTATAGCAAAATCCTCTCCAAAAAAAGGAAAAAAAAATAACCAAGAGTAGTAGCAGCTTTGGAAAAGTAAACTCTGAGCACCTCTCCCCTCCTATGTTTTAATATTTCATGGTATCTAGTTTGGGGTTGGGTGATAGACTGAAGAGAGGAGAACATCTAGTCTGTTGTTATTCCATTCACTCTCTACTAGTTTTGTACAAGTTTCAACAAATTATTTTCTGTACAATTGTAGATGGCTGTGATTTTCTTGGTCCTTGAAAATATTTAGATATCAATAACCTGTAAGTAATAATTCTACTTTACAGAGAGTCCTTCCTCCAAGCTGTGGATTCAATATTAGGAATCTGGTTTACTCAAGTTGAAACTACTTTACTGGAGAGGAACAGAGTCAAAATACTCTAACAGAAGAGTTTGGTGACTGGCAAGACCTTTATGAAGCCATCTTAGCCTCTTCAGGTTATGTCTCTCAGGGCCAGAGGCAGCTGCTTCTGATCTCTTCAAGCAGCAGTAATGGCGGGAATGTCCCTACCACTAATTTGAAATTCTGGATTGAGATCAGAATCTTTAGGAAACAGAATTGGAATCTTCATCCCCACCCAGTCATACCCTAGGACTTAGTTTATATTACTAAGTTCCATTTCTCAAAAGGAGGAAGCTGAGATAAGGGTAATAGAATTGTTCAGAAACATTCTTTGGCCTTTTCCTATTTCAGGTCATATATTTTTTGTTAGATTTTTATAGCTGAACTATTAAAGCTGAAGAGTAGTGGTACAGATTGAAAATGTCTTTTTCATGGCTGTCAAAAGTTATTCTTGAAAGTGAGACTGAGAATCTAGAGATTTATTTAGCCATGATGACTTAAATAAAGCATGGGTGTGGTTAGATTCTGTCATCATCATCATTTTTATATTTGCAGAGTTCACACTTATGGTTCAGATAAGATATGTAAAAAATAATAAAAGGCCAGTAGGTGGCGTGGTGGTTAAGGTGCTAAATTTGCACATAGTTGACCATGGTTCAAGTCCCCGACTTGGCAACTTGAAAATCATGCTGAATGTGTGTGTGTGTGTGTGTGTGTGTGTGTGTCCAAAATCCCAAGAGGAGAATGGAGAAGAGATTGTGGATGGTCATCCCCTCTGGGGAGTGATTTCTCACTTTCCGTCTATCTGTCTCTTTCTCCAGGTAGCACACATACCCTATGGCAAAAACCTGATAAAAAATAAAAGGGGAAAATCAGTACATTATAGTTATTACATATTGAGATTATACATTTTTATATGAAATGGCACATATTTAGAGAGAAAAGTATGTTTTGGGACTCCTGTTGGGTACAGAAACAGAAATATAACATCGTGGTTATTGGAAAGAAATAATTGATGCTGCTTGCATGCAAAACAGAATATCTTTTGAACTTTTGTTTAATTTCCTTTTGTCATTTCCTCATTTCTAACTAAAACCAGCATTGCACGTTGAATTTTCAAGGCAGAAATGCTAACATGGAAAATTATTTTATGGATATTATTTTTGGATTGAAATACTTTTTGAATAAATACATCAAAAAGTAACTTGGATAAACCCTGTTTATCTATTTAGCTGATGAATGGATTCCAATCTATTGCTAAATCACAAATATTCATAATGCATATTCATTTTATAATTTTTAAAAATAACAACTCTTCTCCAAACCGTTAACTCATCAGTAATTTTTCTTCATGCTCCTTAAGGAAGAATGTCTTTTAAGTGGAATTTGAATTTTTATTTGCTAACCATCAATTCCACAAATATTGATTGAGAGCTCTTGATAGGTAAGGCACTGTAGAATACTTAAATATAAGTCAGGCTAATAGAGTACTTTGGAGTCAGAAAGCCTCACTTCAAGTTTTGGCTCTACTACTTACTGTGTCTTCATACTTGGGCACTAATTTAAAGTTCTTTAAACCTCACTTTTCTAATTTATAAAATGGTAACATTCTTTAGGGTTCTTGTTAAGAGTAGCTGAATTAATGTGCCCGAAGTGTTTGATAAAACATCTGACACAGAACTCAACCAGTGGAACGAATGATGTTGCTCTATCATTACTGTAAGTAAGGGACTTGTTTGTTAGGGCAAATACCGATAACTGCGGGACAAGGCAGCATAGTGAGTGCCATGGAGAGCTGTGAGTAAAGTGTTGCGGCGGTTAAGAAGAGAGAGAGGGAGTGCATCCCAGAGGAGTATCAGGAAAGTCCATCTTCATAAGCGAGGGACAGGTGGAGAAAGAGAAACTGAAGGAGGCAGAAGGAAGGAGTCAGAGACGCAGGAGAAAGCTGTGATTATATAGCAGGAAGTTGAAAACCGATGGCCTGTGGGACAAATAAAGCTCACAGACGAGTTTCCTTCAGCCTACACAGATTAGAAAACATTTTTTTAGCCAACATTATGTGACTTCATATAAAAATCCAAATTTTTAGTTTCTTTTGAAAATTAGAAAATATAACAACATGAGATCGGAATCCTTGTTTAGCAACCACAATTTTTTTTTTTTTGGAGAGGTTTTTGCTATAGGGCGTGTGTGCTCGTCAGACAGAGAGAGACATAGGGACAGAAAGCGAGAAATCACCCCCCAGGGGGGATGGTTACGCCACAATCCCTTTTCCTCCATTCTCTCGGGATCTTGGGCACGCACGCTCACGCCCGGCGTGAGTTTTAAGCCACCGGGTCTGGGACGCGAACCGTGGT